AAGAACAGAATTTCCTTTTTTATTTCCTTCCTCAAAGCCTGACTCTTCTCTGAGTAATGGGCCAGGTGTGTTACAGCATGTTTTGTTGCCTCAGAAAACAGTCATTAGTTCAGCCTTTGTCTTCTCTGCTTTTGTTGGACTACATGTACATGCTGTCTCAATTATGAGCGTGATGTTCCTTGTTAAGGAGTAAAGCACTTGTGATTCAAAGTTGTTCTGAGTTTATGCTCTATGAACTAAAGCATAAAGTGTTTAATTGATTTTTTTTCTTTGGTCTGTGTGGTTTTGGGAAAACATGTCATCAGTGCAGAAGGAGCATAGCACAGCAGGGGCTCTGATTTCAGGCCAGGGTGGTTAAGTGTGCAGTCCCGTTGTCACCGGGCAGGCACCATTTGCTTTGAAGACACTCAGACTGGGGTTACAGAAATTGGCTGCACCCATTAGTGCATTGGCAACCTGAGAACAGGAGCATTGATGGGACTGAGCCTATTGCCAATCCCAACAGGCGTCCTTTTTCCCCTGCTCTGGGTTGCACATGCATTTATTTGGAAGCAGTCGTACCTGGAACCGTGCTTTGGGCCCAGCTGCGTTGAGGAACACATTGCTACTTTCCTTCTGCCTGTGAGTGCTGCTGTGTTTGTGCATAAGCAATAGCTACTGCTTTTCTGAAAACTTTGTGGCCTCTTGCTGGTGTACATCTCGCTGCCATAATCCTCATCACCCACTGGCGTTTAGACAGAATGCAAAGTTAGAACATGTAGTTACAGTCAACCTGTGAAAACACAGCCTCCGAGACCTGAAGAGATGAAGCTGAAGTTCCTCATCCCTTTTTCATGTGCACTCTACGTAACAGCTTGCTGCTGTCCCTAGGCTGAACGCTGCTTTTCCCTACCCCGAGAAGACCAGCCTGCTCTGTCTGCAGTGCCTCTGCCCTTGAACCCTCACCCTATTTTTGTACACATGTACTTTCACTTTGAGTACCCTATGAATTTTTGTGTTGGTGGAAGAAAAGAGTTGAGTTCTTGAAGCAAATGTACCTCATTTATTAGTTACAGGGTTTAAGGAAACTGTTTACAGAATTTTACCAAACGCAGAAGTAATGAAACATCCTCAACAGTCTTAACACAAAAGACTGAACCAGCTGTGGAGCTGTACTTCAGCAACAGGGACTGCCCTCTATGAACCGTGGTATGACCCACTTTGAACATTGACCAGAGAATAGTAGACGCCTTTTTCAGCCAGGAGCTGCTGATGGGTTCCTTGCTCTATGACCTTGCCATTCTGGACCACGGCAATCTTGTCAGCATTTTGGATGGTGGAGAGGCGGTGAGCTATCACGATGCAGGTGCGACCTTCTCTGGCTTTATCCAGCGCTTCCTGGACAATCTGCACAATGAACAAACCAAAAAGTGAATGAAAACCAAATACAGCAGCTGTTTGCACCTGTAGTGCCCCTAGTCTGTCATCTGTTAGGTCAGGTCAAGCAGACTTCTCCAGGGTCACAGCTGGCCCTTCCTTGCTGCCACAGGCAGCTCTTGGTCAGTTTTAGAAACTGACCCAACAAATAGGTCTGGCTCCTTTGACAAGCCATGTGCTTTCTCACTCACTTTCAGCAACATCGAAAATTGCTCCAAATTTCAGTCCCACTCATTAAATAATTACAAATTAATCCCCTAGCTAGTTCCATTATAAAATCGTGGTATAATCAAATAACATGGTGGATAATTTTGTATTCTAGTTTATAAGCACTAAGTATGGTGTACTTAGTATACATATTTTTAGCTCACCCCCCACACCTCTTTTTTTAGTACTCTGAAGGTTCTTTAATATTTCCTGATGTTTTGGGCTCTGTGGCCACAAAGATGCCAAATGTTGCAATAAAGTTATTTTGAAAATTGCTAATGCAGAATTGCTTTTGGGATGCCGGGTGAGTACCTTTTGTTTTTTTTAAAAAAAGGAGCCTCCTGTTGGCATGCCCAGCCAACTTGCAAATCTCTGTTACTGTTTGCAAAGCCACAGTACCTTCTCACTTTCTGTATCCAGTGCAGATGTAGCTTCGTCTAACAGCAGGATCTGGGGCCGTCGCACAAGAGCTCGGGCAATAGCAATGCGTTGCTTCTGACCACCAGAGAGCTGGGTTCCTTTATCCCCCACGCGTGTACTGTATTTCTAGATGCAGAAAGCAAGCACAAGAATAAACCTGGGTCTGGACCTGATCCTGTGGAGCATCATGTTTGGGCTGCGTTTCCATGGAGTAACGTGTCAGGCAGCCCGTCCCTGTCCGAATTTTGATGTCTAATTCAGTAAGTCACAGAAATATAAATGATGTCTTTACTTAGGAAAGCATGAATAGACACTGGGTTTTTTGCTCCAGCTGCAAGTTGGAAATGAGGCCTTAATAACCTCTGGTAGCTATTTCATTCCACTGTGCATGGTAGACTTTTCATCTGATCCAAGATTTTAATTGTGACATTATTATGTGTTGGTATGTGTATATATATATATATATATATATA